TTCGTTTTGTCCCAATTTTACTGCATGTGCTTGAGAGCTGCTCCAGTCTTCAAAGTGAGAGGGCATAAAAATGAACGAGTTTGCTTTGCCCATTTCAGCCACGCTCTGGAATTATGTGCTCGCTTTTGCGCGCTGTTGGGAAAAGTGATTGAACGATTCGACCTAAAGTTTATGCGTGCCAACTGCTGTACCACAACAGGTGAATTGCGGTGAGCTGGAGGCTTGAACCGGCTTGGGGATGCTTGCCCCGCGGGTAGGGAGGGGGTAGTATGTATGTGTTTCGCTTGGACGTGACAGCAGCCGCGCTTTCAATTGCCGTGTAGGGAAATCTGCATTCATCTCTTTGTCGAGCACAAGACAGTGGACTGTTGCCTCGAAAGGAATGATCCGATAGTCCCGGTACAGATGTTTTCCTAATTATCGGACATTGTTATGTTAAGTAGGAGCTGATCGCCACGCTTGAAGACCTGGAAAACCTTTAGTTGACCATTGCAAACTCATAATTCATTAATTAGAAGAAGTTGCAAATCTGAATACCGTGATCTTGGCATCAAGACGATCTGGTTCTAACAGTATCAAGATTATATGTTGTGTGTGTGAATCGTTGTAATGGGCACGTTCTGCGCCGATTCTCTGGCTCCTCCCACTTGCTTATCGCGGAATGTTCTTTCAAGGCCCATTTAAGCTGGTGATATAAATAGGTATTGACCGCTCATTCAATGAAAGCAAGCCGGAAAATGAACAGTGATTTGAAAAGTTGAATGAGTCGAAATCTCAAAAGGATGTTAGGCACCATGAAAGGTTTACAGGGTACCTATGCCTTTCCTAGAATGCATAGTTATTACATCACCAGGCATTGTCCTGCTATTATTAGTGAGTTCCTTATCATCGAAGACGCAGTTTTCACTATGTTTTGGGATTTCAGATCAACTTGCAATAGAAATTGTTAGCGATGGAACAACGAGCGGTGATGCCGACTCAGAAGTTCCCGACGATCACACTCGCACCATTGTGCTCAAGAAAAAGGGAGCTGGTGGTCTAGGATTGTCCATAAAGGTGATGGGCTTGCTTGGAACACATGCTTGTCAGAAAAGACTCCTAAAAAACTTCAGCTTTCTTTCAGGGTGGCGCGGAGAACGCTCAAAAAATGCCTATTGTCATATCCAAGATATTTCCAGGAATGCCAGGTGAGCTGAATGGTAACAACTTTGGCACTTATTTTGATGACAGCTTATATGACAGTGACAGTTACTAACTTGTATGTACTAAATAACTCTTTGGTTAAGAAAAGTGAATCTGAATTAGGACCATTTGCGGTTCTCATCGTGCTAGATTTTCGGGCGACATCTGTGCATGCTTTGGCCAATACATCGTTTCTTCGTGCTAAATGCCATACAACACTAAAGAAAAATGTCTGATAGCTCAGAACCCAAGTTCGTAGGAAAAAAGAGCACGCAGAATCCTCAAGTGCAGGATTTGGTGTCACGTTAACTACACTATAAAACGACTTCTTGCACCAATGCGATTATAAAACGACCTTCTTGCGACCAGTTCTGCGACCTCTTGGAGACACATATACAAAATGTGCTCGCAGCGTTGCGACCCGTCCTGTAGTTGGAGGCAATACTTCCCCTGTACAAAACCTCTCAAACTGCCCCCCCCCCGTACATACCTCTCCTTCGCATTCCCTCTCCTACCCTGCCCAATTCCTTAAGATTTTTTCCAGCTTTCCACCATTTTTCCCTTTAGACTTCCCTCAACGCTCAATAAGACCTCGTGTGTAGGGAATCCCCAACATACAACATGCCGTGCCCTGATTGCAAATCACTTACTCTGGCGCCTTTATTACGAACTTTCGAGACGAAAGTGGCAGATTCACTGTGCTTACGAACCTGGCTATCAGCCTCTTACAATAGAATTAGGCAGCTGGCTATAGTGGAGAAGGAAGCCTGCGTCGGCGAAGGTGTGAACTCGCTGAAATCAACAAATCACACCTTTGAAGGCAGTTGGCACGATAATTCGATACTCTGCCCAAAATACTAGCAAGGCCTTTTATAGTGAGGAGAAATAGCGAAAAACGAAGTGAAACGGCTGAAAAAAACTTGCCCAAAAGAAAACCTTTCATCTTTGATGATTCAAAAGCATTTTGGAACGATTCCCCATAGGCCATCTTGCCAATAATTCGCGTTGCAGTAGGCACGACTGCTCGTATGTACTCACATGTCTATTTAGCACTGCGGCCGCTTCATAATAATCCCTTCGCTTCATATTTTACTCAACAAACGAAGCAATACGAGCATCAGGTAAGGTCGTCCATTTGTGGGCGGGCGGGCGTGTAGCAACGTGGGCGTTCGGGGTCGCTGTTGTTGCCCAGCTTGTATAGGCGAGGCCCTTGCAAGCGATACCTTTCTGGAAAACTGTGCTACGCAGCGCCTGCTTAGGACCGCGGAATTCCGTCCTCCCAGGCGTATTAATCCTATCTCCGCTTACGGATTTATCGTGCCAACTGCCTTCGCAGCGCAATGGGGCTGGTGGTTTTTCATAACCGTATCTACTCGGTGCGTTTCTTTCGTTAGATCAATGCATGGAACTTGCGTTGAAGGCGCATAAGTGTTCGAAAATTTGGAGTGCTATGTAGCTTCAAATATCTAGTTTGATTAAACCGCTGTTATTCTCGGGTTACCCTTGCCACGACTTTTGGAAACTTATTGCTTCAAGCATTTGCACCGCCCAATATACACTAACTAGGATCATATGAAACAATTAAATATGACAGTAAGAGCCAAGATATATCGCGACAAGAACGCATTCATTGACTTGTGCTCCGGGAAAAAATTTTTGTGGTATAACTTCATGATCAGCTTGTAGCACTTATTGAATAGTTACATGAGGGAGCCAAGTTTTTTCGAGTTAAGTTTATTTCAGTGAGAAGCACTTTTGATCAACAATATATATGTTGCCCTGACCAACAATATAGTTGTAAGCCTCATCGACAACTTGTTACCAGTCACATAGTGGGGGCAGAGTGGTTGCCTCGCTTCCAGGAAGAGCTTTGTTTGGTTCCGGTGCCAGGAAGGTGCCTGCGGGTCATTTGAAGTGCTTCTTCTGAAAACCGCTTTTTTTTTACCCACAAGGTGGCCGCCGATGGTTCAGTTTAGGTAGCAATCGGAAAGAGCTGATTTAGGGCTACACGGAGACTGTGGTGGAATTCCCAGCTAAGTCTTTTAGAATCCCGAGCAGTGTCACTGTCGGAAACGTGATACCCTGAGCTGTGGTAGAGTACATAGGCAAGCACTGCTGAGTTGTTGGACCAAATAATAGGCATTTTCATCCTATTCTCGTCCGCTTAGCGCTCTTTCTTCGAAGTCGAACGTATCATTAGTGCATCAATATGGCATAACATATCACTCCCCGTAGTACGCCCCAAAAGATGAAATTCGGCCGCCTAAGTAATCTTCCATAGATGATCTTCAACTTCCACTCCTCGATCAAATAACAATTTCAGCCGACCGGTCCGGTCAATTGTATGTTGGTGACGCAATTGTGGAAATAAATGGAGAGCCTGTAGAAGGTCGGTCACACGATGAGGTTGTGGAGATGCTAAAAGCGGATGTAGACGAGCTTCGTCTCGGGGTTCGACACTGCTCCAATATTGCCTCTTATCTAAGGTGGTAATTCCTGTACAATTTCATGATTGGAAGGACTTTCATTGTTAATGCTCATGTTCAGACCTGCACAGTCTCTTCAGCCAGGACGGTCAGGTGGCACACTGGACAAGATCTATGAGCCAAATACATGGAAGGTAATGTTTTTGTACAGCATACAACTCTATTTTTTTCCTTCACTTCTCTGAAGGATAACCAACAAAGTGCTCGGCGCGGAGGAATTGACGTGTATTCTACTTTCATCCGGAATCATCGAAGGGTCCGGACACCTATTTCTCGAGTATAAACGGGCGAACGCCCTAACCGAAGGTCTACCACTCAGACAGTGTAGTGACTACTATATAGGGTGGGGGGTAAAGCTGTAGCAAGGCCAGGGAGGCGTCCAACCCCCCTCCTCCTGGCACATTCAGCGCGAGCTAGATGGACAGATTCGGACCCGCCACTGTGTCTATTTCATCGGCGCCTCCTCTTTCACGGCTGCCCTAGGAGAGAGGGGTGCACCAGTAAGAAAGCTGCTATGGTGCGTGTAAGTCCACGCACAACTCTTCCACTAGCCACAACACCACTTTTGGCATTTATTACGACAACTTCACCGAATTCCAGTAGGCTGATACCACAACCCAATTAGTAGGGTATGACATCCCTCCTGATTCATGTGAGCCCTTTTTTGTGGCAGATTATAAATGTTTTAGCCCAATTTTTGCAAGGATAAAAAAGGAAAGCTCTTGCCATTGATTTAATTCTAGATTCTAGTTCCATTCAGTATCTTAGTGGCTTACTGAGTGCGATTTTTCCTCTACAGTGACTAGCGAAGGTCAGCTCTTCTAGAAACCAGTGTCCTCATCCTCCACTTTATATGAATGCGGTACCAATTTACCGTCCCCGGAGATTAGAAGGCTTGGTTGGCCCGGCAGGTACCAAGCCGCGATTCGATCCCCAAGCACCATTGCCTTGACCAAAAGTACTAATGGGTGAAGGCAGTTCGTCTACGGGGGACACACTTTGCTTTTTCGCTACTTCCATCGATGTGTCGACCCATCTAGACAGCCTTCTTGAGTTGACACGTTTTACCATGGTGGCTAGACGAGCTTGCTCCAGCTTCACAAGAGTTCACAAGTTTCACCAGAGTGAGACTTGTAAACCGGAAGTAGTGAAGTGCAAATGCCCCCCCCGCCGAACTGCGCCTAACGGGTGTAACTAGTAGACATTTCTATGGGTACTTGTTCAGGAGCTGGCGTGAGCGTTTCAAGGCCTCTCACAGTCCTTAGAAAATGACCGAGAAAAAGTAATACACTGAATGTCGAACCCCTCAGTCCTCTCACTCAGACACTCCAAACATTTTTGTAGGAGTTTCAAGAAGGTTTTCCGGGGTCAAGCTGAATGGGCCATTTTCAAGGTTTTAATATATAGATCGCCTTAGATTTTCATCTACTTCAATGAGAATAAGATTTTTTCAGTCTGCAATGAAAGCACAATCCGATCTGGTGATATACAATGGAAGAGAGAGATCAACGGGTCTCGAAGGCAAGGACGAGAAATGGAAAACGATAACTGTGATTCCCCTTCCAATGGCATATCTCACTCGATATCTTTGGGGTACGGATAACATCAGGTAGGTAATCCGTTCAACGTGGATTCTAGCTTGAAATTTCCAAGTGTAGTTGAGCTATTGGACCGGGCCATAAGCAATGGCGGGTGCAGTTCGGCAACGCGGGGGGGGGGGCATTTGCACTTTCGTTGCTTCACTAGTTCCGGTTTACAAGTCTCACTCTGGTGAAACCTGTGAACTCTTGTGAAGCTGGAGCAAGCTCGTCAAGCCATCATGGTAAAACCTCGAGAAGAGGCTGTCTAGATGGGTCGACACGTCGATGGGAAGTAGCGAAAGTGCAAAATGCCCCCCGTCGCCGAACAGCGTAATGGCGTTTTTTACTTAACACATTCCGGACCGCGTGACACACATGGTGATCTTTAGAAGCTAAAATTTACTTGTGTTTCGAGAGTTGCGCAAATTCTTTGAGTTGTTATATATCCCTGTAGGGTACGAATTCCTGCATATGGTTGGGCCATGAAAAGCTCCGATAGTTTATTTGTAAAACATTTTTTCTAAAGTGTAGCCAATTCATAAAACTATCATGCTCTAGAAATGCACCGCACCTAGATCAATTTGCTGATAAAATGATCTACTGAGGCCATTCGGTGTCCCGATCGTGATTATGATACACTCTTATAGCGTCCGCTCCATTTGGCGCCATGGGCGCCAGTTTGGCGCCGCCGCCTTTATAACCAAACTGCGTCTGAGGGGTGATTAAGGATTCTCATTGCAAAAGTGACACTCGAAGCTGGTGCCATTTAACGCCCCTTGCCACCAAATGGCGTCACCGTCAAATGAAACCAGCGCCAAAAATGAATGTCACATGCGTGTTCGCAGTCCTTGAATACCCCCAAATGCAAGGTTTACATGAATTTCACTGGAAAAGATCGTGGCGCCCAATTGGCGCCCGGTGGCGTCAAATGGCGCCAGCGCCAAAAATAAATGTCAAATTCGTGATTGGGATGTGAAATAACCCCCAGATACAAATTTTCAGAATGAAGAAGCCACTAAGAAAAATTGCGACTGAAATCTGCCCCGTATGGCCGCATGACACACCATGTGTGTCACGCCAGCCTCGCATCGAAAAAGCCGCGCTCACA